GTGGTCTCGGGGACCAGCCTGTCCCCCACCAGCCGAGAGGGCGTGGTCTCGGGGACCATCCTGGTCCTGCTGCCCTCTTCCATGGACTGAGGTTCCACAGTTTAGGGCAGCTTTTCTGCAACCCCTCACATTACTTTGGAAGACCATATTAAATCCAGGAACACTGTTACATAAAAGCACAGAATTTATCTTACTTGGGTTTCCTGGCTCTGATAATAGAGCTGAAAGCACAGCAGGTCTGTAAGAAAACACAGGAGTGGGCACGCTGACCTGGGCGGGCTGAGAGGGCGAGGGTCGCGCGGCCCAGTTCTGAGCCTCATCTTGCTCAGAGGTGAGTGTTCGCCTCATGTGATTACAGTTGGTCTTTTGTGAGGGGAATAAGTAATCAATAAAATTCTTCTTTTGGGGAAATTTGAGTCACGGTATATTAAAAAAAAAAAAAAAAAAAACACGTTAAAAAAAAAAAAAAAAAAAAAAAAACACGTGATCTAGAGAGCTGTTCTGATGCCATAGAGAGAAAAAAGGTTAACCTTAACTTTTATTTGGTCAAGACATGTTTTGTATCATACCTCCTAGACTCCACATATACAAAATTTAGCAATTTGTTCCTAGGGCTTCGGTAGAGGAAAGAAAATAAAAACAGGTCATTAAATGTGGGAAGCCAAGGATTCCCAATTGTGTCAGACTTTTTTTTTCTTTCTTCTACAGAGAGAGAGAGACAGAGACAGAGAGAGAAGGTGAGAAAACAAGCTGCTTGGTCCAAGACTCGAACCGCAGTCAGCCATGTGGGAGTCCAGCATCCTTAACCACCACACCGCCTGCCAGCCCCGGACGTTCTCACAGAACAGTGATCGGTTCTGAGGAGAGGCTGCGAGGAGACTCCTCCCTAAGTTAGCGCTCGCCTAAGTCTCGCTCTCTACGCCCCTCAGCTGACTCGCCACTTCCATTTCCCTCACGTAATCAAAAATGTCCGAATGCATAAGTTACACAACTCGGTGATCCAAGAAAGGGTTTTCTTTCGTATCACCATCGTCACAACACGACCACAAACACTTCCCTGATGGCCACCCGGCATGCCCAGCCTCTCGCCCTGCTGCACCTGTGTGGGTGAGAAAGCTGCACACACGTGAGTGAAGGGCACTTACCAGTCAGTCATCTTCTCATGTCACTACGACAGGTCACATACAGGGAGCCTCTTTAATGCGACAGTTAAATTCATAAAGAATCTCACCAAAAGCAGCTTCGATATTATAAAACACCGAATGTGAGTTCTGCAGACAGCACCATGCACGCCCACGCACGGGTAGGGTGAGTGTCCCCACGCGGCTCCCGGCCCTGCCCTGCGCCACCAGCCCTCTCCCAGCCGTCGCTGCAGGGGAGAAGGCAGACCGTGAACAGGGAGGGCCTCCCTCACCCACGGCAGCTGTGTACTCGAGCAGGCACCAGGCCGCTGACTCGGGGAGCCTGGGGACTGGTGGGTATAGCGCAGGTAAGCTTCTTGCTAATTAGGAAAAGGAACCCAGAAGCCACCTCACCGAGTCAGCACTTGGCAAAGGTGACGTCATTACGGGATTTTTTAAAAGGTATCTTTCCTCTGGATAGATTTATTTTTCTTTTTCTTTTAATTTGCCAGAGGTTGTATATTCTTGTCCAAGAGAAAGAAAGCACATCCCATGGGGTGTGGTCACACTGTGATCCCCATTGCTTTGTTGGGTTTGGGACACACATGCACATGTGCCTGGCATGTTTTTCGAGCCACCAGGCCCAGGATTCCCAAGTGCAGTCAGCCATGCAGGATCCAGGCCAGGGCCAGCCCCTCTGGGTCGAGTACTCCAAGCCAGAGCGTAGTCTAAGCAGGAGCAGCAAGTCTCCACCCGGTGCACCAGACCTGCCGGCGGGCGGGGACAGGGCCTGCAGACTCATCCTCCTGTGGCAGGATGCGTACAGCAGGGGCTCCCCGTCAGCCAGGTCAACCACTCAGTCTGCTGAAAGACACAGTACACAGTTCTGCCTGAAACGCTCGATTTCAGTCAGCTTATATATAAAAGACAAAGATCTATGGAGAAAGCAGCTTTCTGGTATCTGTAGAATATATGAAAGTACTGATGAAAATCAAACACATCCAATATTTAAAGTTTTCTTTTTCTATTTTGCTTGGCATTTGCATATAAAGGATTCAATTAAATATCAACCGCAGGGCTACACCCAGAGCACAGCAGCTGAGTCTGTGCATGGGGCGCTCGGGTGTTCCCAGCCCGAGACACACACTGCGTGCAGGGCAGCGTCGGGTGTTCCCAGACCGAGACACACACTGCGTGCAGGGCAGCGTCGGGTGTTCCCAGCCCGAGACGCACACTGTGTGCAGGGCAGCGTCGGGTGTTCCCGGCCCGAGACGCACACTGCGTGCAGGGCAGCGTTGGGTGTTCCCGGCCCGAGACGCACACTGTGTGCAGGGCAGCGTCGGGTGTTCCCGGCCCGAGACGCACACTGCGTGCAGGGCAGCGTTGGGTGTTCCCGGCCCGAGACGCACACTGTGTGCAGGGCAGCGTCGGGTGTTCCCGGCCCGAGACGCACACTGCGTGCAGGGCAGCGTTGGGTGTTCCCGGCCCGAGACGCACACTGTGTGCAGGGCAGCGTCGGGTGTTCCCGGCCCGAGACGCACACTGCGTGCAGGGCAGCGTTGGGTGTTCCCGGCCCGAGACGCACACTGTGTGCAGGGCAGCGTCGGGTGTTCCCGGCCCGAGACGCACACTGCGTGCAGGGCAGCGTTGGGTGTTCCCGGCCCGAGACGCACACTGTGTGCAGGGCAGCGTCGGGTGTTCCCGGCCCGAGACGCACACTGCGTGCAGGGCAGCGTTGGGTGTTCCCGGCCCGAGACGCACACTGTGTGCAGGGCAGCGTCGGGTGTTCCCGGCCCGAGACGCACACTGCGTGCAGGGCAGCGTTGGGTGTTCCCGGCCCGAGACGCACACTGTGTGCAGGGCAGCGTCGGGTGTTCCCGGCCCGAGACGCACACTGCGTGCAGGGCAGCGTTGGGTGTTCCCGGCCCGAGACGCACACTGTGTGCAGGGCAGCGTCGGGTGTTCCCGGCCCGAGACGCACACTGCGTGCAGGGCAGCGTTGGGTGTTCCCGGCCCGAGACGCACACTGTGTGCAGGGCAGCGTCGGGTGTTCCCGGCCCGAGACGCACACTGCGTGCAGGGCAGCGTTGGGTGTTCCCGGCCCGAGACGCACACTGTGTGCAGGGCAGCGTCGGGTGTTCCCGGCCCGAGACGCACACTGCGTGCAGGGCAGCGTTGGGTGTTCCCGGCCCGAGACGCACACTGTGTGCAGGGCAGCGTCGGGTGTTCCCGGCCCGAGACGCACACTGCGTGCAGGGCAGCGTTGGGTGTTCCCGGCCCGAGACGCACACTGTGTGCAGGGCAGCGTCGGGTGTTCCCGGCCCGAGACGCACACTGCGTGCAGGGCAGCGTTGGGTGTTCCCGGCCCGAGACGCACACTGTGTGCACGTGCAGGACAGGGCGGTGCTGTACCCATACCCTACGGGCACGTGCTCCCGTGTGCGCGCTCTCTTCCCACCACCACATACATCCTCTGGAAATAAAATGATTATTTTAAAATGTATTGTAACTCTCTCAGAGACTTAAACCACACAACCCTCCACCTTGTTGTGACCAAGTACTCTGAGAGCGCTCACAGCTAGAGCTCATTACCTTTCACGCCACCGAACGGCCCGCAGGTCATATTGCAAGCAGTTCTCTGGAGGTTGTGCTCATACATCAACTTGATCTGATACTGGTTCCCATGTTCCACGTTGCCTAAGGTTCCTAAGTGGAATAAATAAAGGATTACTTTGTTTCTATTAAAAACGTTTGTTTTCTCACCCTTCATACGTCATGTCGAAGTAACCTAAGCTCAGAGAAAGGGCGAAGGCTATACAGGACACCGCACCGAGAGCAACCCCGGCCCAGCTCGGACATCGCCTCTGCAGCACACCGCCGGGGGCCCAGTCGACCATGGGCATCTACCGTGGGATGGGAGGCATCTTTAACGGTAACAACCCTCCTTCAGTTCCGAAATAAATAAGGGTAATTTCATTCCGATTATAAACAGCAACAGAACAGAGAAACTCCAAGTGCCTAGGGGAATTCCCAACTCTTTTGAACAATGTATTTTCCTTCCTCGACTCTTAGAATACTCGAGCATCTAATATATTCTAATTTTACAGAAAAATCTTCTAGCTTCCCCTCAGCAAATAAGTAGGACTCAGTATTTCACTCCAAGTCTGACAAGAAAATTCTCCTAAAACACAAAGAAAAATGCTGTCTCATGGGACCAACAGTTGGCATAATGGCTATGTCGCTGGACTCCCATGTAGCCGACCATGGTTCAAGTCCCAGACCCAGTGGCTTAAACTCATGCCGGGCACTTGTGTGTGCGTGCCCATGGAGAAGGGATTACAGCATGGCCACCCCCCTGGGGGGTGATTTCTCGCTTTCTATCTCTCTGTCTCTGTCTTTATAGTGAGAGCACACACCCTATAGCAAAAAAAAAAAAGAAAAAGAAAAATGCTGTCTCTGTATTTGGCAGATCACACGTGCTGCAACCACTCTCTGGCTCTTTCCAAATAAGAGAAAAATTCTTAACCTGTACTTCACTGTGAGAGCTAGGACTTCGAGAATGCTCACAGGTGGAGCTAACTCCTGGTGCTCAGTCAAGAATAGTAGGATTAAAGAGATGTTAGAAAGAAAAGGAATTCAGAAAGCACCAAAATAAACTCACACTTGAATTTCATTCTCCACGAACTATTTGAAGTCTCTCCTATAAATTTATATATGAAGATCTATTTGTTGGGCTGTTTAAGAAAAATTTACCAACATATACTGAAGTTTTAAGAATAATTTTTAAGACCATTTTAGAACTGAGGCACCTTGTAGTCAGCAGATGGAATCGTGATTAAAGTGCTGGACCTCCATATGGCCAACTGCAGTTCAAGTCCAGGACCTGGAGACTTGAAAACCGTGCCAGGCACATGTGTGTGCACACCCGAAATACCAGAAGGAGAAGGGAGGAGAAGGGACTGTGGTGGAGTCATCTTCTCTAGGAAGTCATCCCTCTCTTTCCTCTCACTGTCTCTATCTCTCCAGCGAGTGCAAGTGCCCTATGGCAAAAAAAAAAAAAAAAAAAAAAAAACTTGAAAAAAAATTGAAGCACTTTAAGTTCAAAAAAATGTAAGAAATTTCCCCAAAATCACACAACTGGTAAAGAGCACAGTACTCAAACCAAAGCTTTAGAATCAGGCAATGTGGGGCCCGGCAGGTGACATGGTGGTTAAGGGCACTGGGCTCCCACATGGCTTCGAGTCCCGGACCTGGTAGCTTGATTTCTTGCTTTTTCTCTCCATCTCTCCCCCTCTCTTTCTCTCTCTCTCCCTCGGCACTGTGTACCCTGGTGCCTGGTGTCTAACCTTAACAAGTGTCGGGCACCTGGTCCTCCCATAGTAAAGGCCATTCAGTCAGGACCAGCAGATGGTGGAGTGGTTATGTCACTGGACTCCAACAAGGCTGACTGTGGCCCGGGTCCCAAACCTGGTGGCTTCAAACTCACAGCAGGTACGAGTGCGTGCACACCCAAGCTCACAGCGGGTGTGTGTGCGTGCACGCCCAAGCTCACGAGGGAGTGTGTGTGCACGCCCAAGCTCATGGAGGGTGTGTGTGCATGCATGCCCAAGCTCACGGCAGGTGTGTGTGTGCACACCCAAGCTTACGGCAGGTGTGTGCGTGCACGCCCAAGCTCATAGGAGGTGTGTGTGCATGCACGCCCAAGCTCACAGAGTGTGTGTGTGCGTGCACGCCCAAGCTCACGGGGGAGTGTGTGTGCACGCCCAAGCTCATGGAGGGTGTGTGTGCATGCATGCTCAAGCTCACGGGTGTGTGTGCGTGCACGCCCAAGCTCATAGGTGTGTGTGCATGCACGCCCAAGCTCACGGCAAGTGTGTGTGCGTGCATGCCCAAGCTCACAGAGTGTGTGTGCGTGCACGCCCAAGTTCACGGCAGGTGTGTGTGTGCACACCAAAGTTCACAGCGGGTATGTGTGCATGCACGCCCAAGCTCACGGGGGAGTGTGTGTGCACGCCCAAGCTCATGGAGGGTGTGTGTGCATGCACACCCAAGCTCACGGCAGGTGTGTGCATGCACGCCCAAGCTCACAGGAGGTGTGTGTGTGCATGCACGTCCAAGCTCACAGGGTGTGTGTGTGTGCATGCACGCCCAAGCTTACAGGGTGTGTGTGCGTGCACACCCAAGCTCACGGCAGGTGTGTGCGCCTACACGCCCAAGCTCACAGGGTGTGTGTGTGTGTGTGTGTGTGT